TAAAATGCCATGCAAAGCAGTGGCCACCGTACTTCAGGAAGTCAGTTGTGGAGCAAAATAATTCAACTACAACGTGTAGACAAACTGACGGCCAAAGCACAACATAGCAAACATGACATTTGCCCAAGGATTGCAGTTTGCAGACCACGCCATGGAAGCAGCAAATACAGAATGTAATATCATACAAAGTGACAAGCAAAGAAGTGGCCACCATACACCAGAGACTTGCAGAAAGTCACATATCCAACAGATAGAAAAGTGAACAGCAATCTGGTACAGCCCACACAAGACAAAGCTAACGTGATACTTTTCCCAGGATCGCAAGTGGCAGATCCTTTTCGATGCATAACATGCAGGTGTACGTTACACGCATGGACAAAATCTGACCGTGTCGCCAGCATACAATGTCATCACATGTATACCCCACAAGTTACACACATGCACAGTAGAAGCACAATGAAAGCAATGGAAAAGTACGATGTGGTTGCTGAAGCATCTTCGCACTTCAAATTCAGACTTCAATGTGGTCGTCACGAGATGATATACCTGCAAGATACAAGTGATGCAGAAAGAAAGCAGAAGGTCGTGAGGTAGGCTATGAGACACCACAAACGGGTCACCTACAGGTATGTTCAGGGCTAGTGCACTCGCACGCAGAATTATCATAATCGAGCATTTCCCAAACTGAGAAGTGCAAGGAAATCCACTTGCATGCACAGGAGCAATTTTGCCGCTGGTGTGATGCGCAATTCGAGACAATCTGCGATGCTGCGTGCTCACCTCTGATGCCGATTACTTCCTTGCTTAGACCGGCCCGGTCTGCTCTCCCTTCACTCTCTTCTAAATCCTACTTGAAGCAGTAAGGCTGTGTCACTGCTCCTACTGATAACCCAGTTAGGTTGTGGTCATTGTTGTGAAACCAATATCATCGTCATTGTGGTAATAACATACGTTTTTGCACAGCGGCTGGCGCTAGAACGTGCAGCAAGCAGCACGCTTGTACTTCGGATTTTTCGATTTTTCGAGGGCAATGGCTTCCTTTTTGCTTTGGCTACCTACGAAGTACGACCAACGAATCTATGAGAAGTATTTTTGGAGCTGGAGTACGAGTGGGGTTGTCTGATAAGTGCTAGGAGAACCCTCCTTTGTGGCTGTAGAGCGCTAAAACGTGCCCTGTTGGCCGAAAAATCCGAATTTTTTTCTCCCGGGGGACACCCCCGTTGTGCCACTCCCAACCGCCCTGTGACGCCCCTGTCATTGTAGCTTACCAGCTGTCTTTTTTGGAGATGCAGTAGCAGCTGAGGACTTGCATACAATCTCTGTTTCAACTGCAACTATTTCCACAATGTTGTCAGGTATTGGTGCGGGCGACACACGCAGATTCTACACACGCAGAAGGAAAGAAACACCATGAACATATACCTGTTACTACATGTACATGTACATGTTGCCACTGTCAAATATTCCACAGGCAGATGCTGGGGATGGAGAGGAGAGCAACATCAGCAACAGCAGAAGCAGCAGCAGCAATAGCTGCACTATTAGCAGCAATAGCAGCAGCAGCAGTACCACACAGCAATTCACCACCATACCTCAGATTGTATACCCGGTATGAGCATAAAATGTCCAGTGGCCTTGTCCTCGCGAAACCGGCTTTCATACTCGTTCAACAGAATCTACAGCGCACGTTGCACAGGAGAATTCATACTCATTCAACAGAATATACAGCATACATTGCACAGGAAAATGCTTGTACATTGCAGAGGAGAATACTGGCTTTCATACTCGTTCAACAGAATCTACGGTGTACATTTGACAAGAGAATACAAGGCATAACGATTAAGCAAATCTACGCCAATAGTTATGTATGTCCCATATGTATGTCCCTGAAGATAGGCTACTGTAAAACCGGAAAATTTAGGTGGAGATTTATTTTCGGTAACTTCGGTTTTACCCACACATCACACACGACAACTTACCTCCACGGTCGACATGAGCTCCCCAGGATCCCCCAGCTCCTTGGGACACGCCCTCACCATCGTCGTGGAAACGTTCAGCTCGGCCAGCAGCCGTCGCAAGCCATCAATCTCATACGAGCTGAGACAGGCCATGTCCGAGAGCAGGCAGGATGGCGGTTATGGAGGTGGCTTGCCGCCTTGTGAGCTGTTCCCATCTCCTGACGAAGCAGCAGCAGCAGCAGCTGCCGCCGTCGCTGGCGACTGGGCTGCAGTGTCATCCGTTGACAGCAGTGGGATCTCGGCGCATGCGGGCGCAGGAGAGAGCTTCGCTGCGTCCGTATCTGTCAGCGATCAGACAATCAGAATATACAAGCCCATATTTAGGCATAGGATAGCTGCCGTGAACAGCATTCAACCGGCAACACCCAACAACAAGAGTACTGTAATATCACAAATTGTTGGTGTACTTTTTTTTCGGTACGTTTGGTGCGTCTGTTTCATACCTAAAGTTTCAATACACCGAACAAACACTAACACACGTAATCCAATAGGGAACTGCTTCTCTGCACCTAAAAGTTCTGTTCGCCTAACCTGGCCTTTTGCCCTCATACTGAAAAATAGTGAGCACCTAAAATTTCTGAAATTAGAGTATATAACCCCCGAAGAGTGTGAAACTCCCGCACACCCTGCTGTCACCACAGAATTTCAAGTTGACGTCATTTTTATGATGCAATGTTCCACGCACCAGTGATTATTACGACATGTGTACGGCGAATCAACGCATCACACGTTTTTCTTTGCACTAGTCTGTACAAGGTCTAATGGGGCTTTGTTCACCACAGATTCCGAATACGTCTGATAAATTGTGATAATACGTGTACTGTGCAGCCTCTTCCCTTGTAAGAATAAGATCCTGTGCTTTGACACAAGAGTACATGGGGTTATGTAATCTTGCTTGACAGGATAACTACATATTTATGTTTGGATACTCCGAAGTGCAGTGATCCTGTTTTCTATTATTGTTGATGATGGTACAAACATAAATATTGCATATACACATCTTCCATATTGAGCTTTTATTAGAGAGGTTAAGATTCACGTTATTTCTGACGTGACGCGAAAGTTTAGCTCGCGTTATTTGGCTCGCTCGTCTACAAACAACGCGAATGACCCGCAGCTCACGTCGAAATCACATCGACAAAGGACATAGCAGCAGAGACAGAATACTTTCTCGTTCTCAGGAAAATAAATCCAACAGCCACGGCCACATGGAGATCGATTCCCCACATTTTGTATTTTTAAGACACAGAGGGAGTCATAGTGATACCAAGTGAAGTGTACGGAGAAGGAGAGAGAGAGATGGAGAGAGAGAGAGAGAGAGAGAGAGAGAGAGAGAGAGAGAGAGAGACACACACACACACACACACACACACACAGAGACAGAGAGAGACAGAGGCATAGAGAGACAGAGACACATACACACACAGTTCCACGGCAACATCGATGAACGACGTAGGAGCATAACAAAACAGAAACCTTCATGCACAACTGCAAGCCTTGGAAAGCTCACACAAGGCATTGGCGTGGTGGAGTTGTATAAGATACTAGCAGCACCCCCGCCAGCGTTGCCTGGCCGAATGTGGCATGCGGGTGAAGCAAGTACATGAACAGCACACGTGCTCAGCACGTGGTGGTGGCCAGACCTCTGAAGTCCTGGTGAGGGAGGTTCTTCATCGTTGGAAGGAGAAGGAGGGACGTCTGTTACGCCTTCGGGAGGCTGGTCAGGGTTGTCCATCACCTGGTGGCGGATGAAGCGGCTCAAAAAATTCAAAAACTTACGAACAAAAGACAAAAGTGCGATGCGCTCTTCACTGCAGATCAGATGCAGAGTGCAGTCAGTGCAGATCTTTTGTATCCTTTTGTTGCAGATGTTTCTATTTGCAGAGAACGGTTCACGTGGTCCGCAGCGCTTGTGCGGCTGCTAGTGCTACCTATGAGGCTATGGCCTAGGCTAGGTGGCTACATGATTCGCACGCTTCGCGTGCTCAGTGCTTCTGCGCGCGGCTGCTACTGCATGCTACTCGTACTGATCGTGTCTGCTATAGTCCTCTTCTTTATAAGGAGCGTGACACACACACACACACACACACAGACACACGTCACAGGTGCCTCTCTTTTATAAGTAAAGATGACAGACATGCACAGCACAGCTCACGTACCTTAGTAGTTTCTTCAATGTGCGCCACGGCAAGCTGACCGCTTATGTTGAAACTGTGCAGAAAGTTTCCACCAAACACTAACCAATCCACAGGAGTGTGAACTGCATGAATCCAACCTGTCAACGAACAAACATACACACAGACACATACACACACACATACACACACACACACACATACACACACACACGCACAAACATACATGCACACACACGCACACACATACATGCACACACACACACACACACACACACATTACACCTTGAAGCAGCCGAGCCCGTTGGCAACAGACCCAACACAATCAGGCATAAGTGCACCCACCAACCGAACTAGCTGGCACTTACATACACACTGTAACGGAATCACAGCCATTCCGTTCCCCGGGACGCAGGACACAAAGGACAAGACTAGTTTGGTTTACATAATTATTATTGACAATATTGAAATGGAGACAACACTCAAAGGGACGAACAAGAAGACTGACAAAAGGACTCTCAACTACAAAATCGCGCATGCTCATATCACACATGCACGCGACTAGACGAGACAGTTTGGGAAATGCCATCACACAGGAAAACAACACATCATTTGACAACACCTGCCCCCTTGATGACATTCCACAAAATAATAAACCGACACCACGTTCCACATGCACAACAGCAAAAGGAACCACAGCAAAACAGAAAAACCAACCAACAGCTTACATTGTAGCACAACAAAACTGGGCCACGACACAGGGCCAAACCAAGACACAAGAGCCGACGCTCTAAACTCAGGCACACAAGGATAACCGAAACACGAGAGCCAAAGCTCCAACAAAATAATAACAATATGCCCGCAGCAGCGCAAAATAAATCTACAACACAAATTAATGCAGAACAACAGAACGACGAGAAGAGCAACATACCGACAACCAAACTCAACAACACAGCAACCAACTGAACAGCGAGAGAAACACGATCAGACAACACAGCGAGCAAAACAACAACAAGACGAACAACAAAGGACGACACACAGTCGGTGATGCCAGACTCATCCACTGGCCTCTGGCGAGCCACGGCCACATGCTCCATGCGGTACCTGCCGTCCCAGGCTCCAGTCCCCAGCTTCTGCCGGTCCACCACCTTCTCTGCCTCCTCTCCGCGTCTTCTTCCGTTTCCACCAGCTCCTCGTCTCTCCTCCATCCCCACGCTTACTCTCTAGTTGTACTACTACTTGTATCAGTTGTTGACGACGACGAACAGACTCATGACAAACTTACTCATCCTCTGCGTCCCGGGTTTCGGCACCACGTTGTAACGGAATCACAGCCATTCCGTTCCCCGGGACGCAGGACACAAAGGACAAGACTAGTTTGGTTTACATAATTATTATTGACAATATTGAAATGGAGACAACACTCAAAGGGACGAACAAGAAGACTGACAAAAGGACTCTCGACTACAAAATCGCGCATGCTCATATCACACATGCACGCGACTAGACGAGACAGTTTGGGGAATGCCATCACACAGGAAAACAACACATCATTTTACATACACACACTTACACAATCTCACTCACACTCACTTACCAGTAGGAATGACAAAGGTCCAGCCTGGTTTCAATTCGACGCGGGCACACGTCTCGACCATGTCACCCAGGAATATATCCTGCTGTTTACCGGACAACACCCACTGCTCATAGATCTGAAGATTGATTGGGGTCGGAGGAATCAGCCAGAAAACCTGCAGTGCACAACAAACACACGCACACACACACACACACACACACACACACACACACACACACGCACACACGCACACACACACACACACACACACACACGCACACACACACACACACACACACACACACACACACACACACACACACACACACACACACACACACACACACACGCACACACACACACACACACACACACACACACACACACGGCCGCATTGTAAACAGTAGAGTTAGTCACACGTTTTTACACTGAACCTCAACGGCAAAGAAGGTGTTGTGAAACCTCTGGTTCTCTAAAGTGTCAGGAACGAACGACCACACGGCACGAGGACAACTCTTTTATTCTTGACAGTATATTTGACTTCGATGGACTATAACAATAATGAACAGTAATAACAGCAGCAGGTATTTATAGCATGCAAAACAGTGTAGATGTGTATGAAAAACATACACATATAAAACATGACATTACAGCGTATACTGTAAACTACACACAGCGCATATAGCGTATGCCATGCAGCAACATCAGCGCTACGGCCGAGTCGCAATACAACATTGCAATGAATACAATGCCATAAGCGAGAAGGCCTTTCCCACTTGAGAACTGGTGGTTTGCAACAGAAGGGTTAGAGCACCGCTGCCCTCAAGTGAAAGCCCCTGGCTCGAGTCCTGGTGGCGCCAGTCAATTTTTTCTTCAGACGTTTTCCCGTTTGCATCTTTCCCTCAACCAATGACCAGGTAAAATAAGGTGGTGTGACTTACAATAGAGCGTGACTTCTTCCTACGTAATATGTACTGTATTGAAACAACTTGGCTCAGACCTGCCAACAGCCAACAACAGCAGCAGCACCACAAGCACCAGCAATAGGGCAGCTACACCTGTAGTACTATCAACAGCACCAGCAGTCGGCCAGTAACAGCAACACCGGCGGCAGCAGCAGCAGCAGCAGCAGCACCATCAACAAGAACAAACAAAACACATACTTTTGCACTTTGGGATATTTCATGTCGAACAGTCGGTTGGTGGCCTCCTGCTGCAAAGCGCGCAATATTTCTGGCCACACGAAGTCCACCCAATCCAAATGACGTACCTGCGTGCAACAACAACAACAACAACAACAACAACAACAACAACAGCAACAGCAGCCGCAGCATGCAAGCAGTAGGAAGAAGAAAAGACAAATGAGCAATTCGTACACGGTTGCGAATACATACTATACAGCTTGTGATGGGACATTGATAAACCAATATAAACACATTGCACAAACCAATCAGGAGTTAAAAATCCATACTTTCTCAAAACGAGCCTAAGCATGATCATGTATGACATGAGCCTAAAACTCCCACCAAACCCCCCAACACGGCATACAGGGGAGACAGTAGTGCAGTGGAGTGCTCAACTACAGTGCACTCATTTCTCACGGCTCCTATCCGGACCTCCAATTTACGGGCATCTTGGTCTACGGGGAACCCTGTGAGTGAGTTTTAGTGGATATATTACTACTTTTCTACCAATTTGTGGAAATACCAGGAGTGACGTAATATGCCAGATCTACGTGCCTTCCACATCAAGATGTACGTGATTACGAACATTTCCAAATGAAGGGCAGAGCCCCCGGTCCCGGACCGCCCGGATACAACAGATAAGAGTGTAGTACATGTAACGTTACATGCATAGGATTGATTGATTGCAGCCTATATCAATCATATCTTCTGAAAATTGTAGTCCAAGTTGTTGTCTGATGATCGGTTAAAACCGTGAAGCTCAGAGTTACAGCAGAAACGCTTTTTGATCCTCTCAAGTGTATGTAGGATTGCTGACGTACCAGACTGGGTGACTCCACTAGAGGCTCCAACTTAGTCTTGGTGAACTCCAGGCTAATGACGTTGTAGAGTTTGTCGCGTTTCGCATTCGTGTAGTACCTGCACAAGAGAGTACATGGCGTGTGCCAAACACACACACACACGCGCGCGCGCACGCGTACACACACACACACACACAAACACACAATGTAGCTCCATGTCTCTTGGAACCTAAGAAAACACCCAAAAGACGCCATGCCACCAAGACTTGCACTGAAAGGCTTACTTTGTAAAGTTTTTATGCTCATGGTGGAGCCTTGTTGTGAGGACACATCCATGATGTCAATAGTACGCCCACGCCTGCCCATCACCCAAAGACCCCCTAGCGATCTCACTGGCCCATTGCCCGCCATCCTCCTGGCACCTCCACCCATCTGCTGTAAACTGCCTCCCCATCGCATCTTTCCGCGCTTTCATGCTCACACCTGCCTGTTGCCTGCCACTCTCCTGGCGCTTATACTGTCGCGCCGTGGCCCGCGCCAGCTGTTCTCCCCATACCTTACACCAGATTTAGCGCTAAATTTGTTTATGCTTGTGGCCCTATGTATTTAGAAGCATACTGACTCACTGTTAGGTAGACCCGAGTATCAGTTGTCTGATGATTGCCTAACGGCATGAAACTCAAGAGTTACAACCAACCTGAACGTCCTCCGCTGAGTCTGCTATGATTTGAAAACTCCGTATGGCGGGACCCAGATGCGCATGCAGTTTACGTAAGACTTTCCGTAGATCGACTACATTTGTTTAACTAACGTAACTACGTTATGCGCAACCTCTCCAATAAAGTACAGTGAGTGCTGGAAAATACTTCGACAACTGTGGACAGTCGGTTATAGGCGATTCACACGACAGCCACTTGCACGTTTTACGGCGAGTGATTTACGAGAAAACGTGACTGTGTGGATTCACATGGCTGCACTCAACAGCGAGCACGTTTGCATTTTTGAATGATTCACCCACCAGTTGCAATGAGTATTTCAAATTTTCATAACACGTGTACAATAATTATCACGGTGAAAAGAGCCGCGTAAAAAATCAAGTCTTGTTTTGCGCTTTTTGCTGTAAATATAGTTTACTGCTTGCCGCAGATCTGCAGAGGGGCTGAGGGCTAAACCCACAGGACACTTCTGATCATAACTCACTAGACCTAGTCTTTCTTAAACTTGCATTCAGTTTCGGAGGGGGACAATACCCCCGACACACGACCAACACAATCTTTAACTGTCTTTGACGCCATCACAATATCTATGCAAACACGGCCTAACGAACAAAGTCAAACAAGCCGTGACCTGATGTTGACACAGCCTGGTCAGTATGTAGCTCTCATTTCGAGTCTAAAGTTAAGGAATTCATACCTCAAAAGTTGAAGCGAAATAACCTGAACAACAAACTGTGGTATAATGCGGGAAAATCAATAAATTAGAAAAATGTCAGGTTCGGAAATTTTATTGGGTGGTCATCCCGTTTGACTATGCGAAGTAAAATTGAAACAACCAAATGGTTGGGTTGATCTGCACTGTGCAACCGATTCTCTCACCTTTCTTCCTCCAGCTATGCCTGTGACACCCTTTGTGAATCTGCGAAACACTAGTGGCAGGCCACGCGAAAATGAGAATGCGCGCAGCCAAGATTAGGCCATCATCTCCTTCATCCATCATCCCGGCGGTCACTCCGCCCGTTCAATATCCAACACCAGTCCCCAAGAAAGAATAAGGTACGAGATTTCAAGTTCAAGGGCAAAGCTAAAGCCAATGAATGGCACTGATTTTTGGAATTGTCGAGTAGAACGAAAATTAATAAATAATCGACGGTCAGATTCGACACACACGTGACACTGTTTGTTCGCGCTCGTGTGTCGCGCTTCGCATTTGCTGCATGCAGCTCCGGAGCTCCAGCGCGCCCATGATGAGTCTCGCGCGCCCGACAGGCTAGCCACTTGCGACAAAAGTAATTTTGTTTTTATTAAAATTTTCAACTTACTTTGCAAGCTGTTGAATGATGCAATCCCAGCACAAGTTAGTTGCTATGGCTTCATCGCTATCATCCACTGGATGATGGGTGTCAGAAGGTCAAAATAGGTGTGTGTGTGTGTGTGTATGTGTGTGTGTGTGTGCGCGTGTGTGTGTGTGTGTGTGTGTGTGTGTGTATGTGTGTGTGTGTGTGTGTGTGTGTGTGTGCGTGTGTGCGTGTGTGTGGACAGACACATATGCACGCACATGCACACTCACA